AGGTGGCGCTCGACTCCCTGCCCGCGACAACCCCCACCGACTCACTCACACACTCTCTGTGTCTCTCTCCCACTCTCTCTCTCCGCCGTCTCCTCCTGTTGGAGATAAATTAACGGAAAGCAGCTGTCGGTTGTTTCAGAGGCGAGGCGGCCGTCTGGCAGCTCAGGGATCCCGCTTCTTCACCCCTTCTTCGCCTCCTCCTCCTCCTCCTTTATCCTCCTCCTTTCTTTTTTTTCTTTTTTTGTTTTCTTCCTCGCTCGCTCTGCTCTTTCTCCGGGACTCTTCTGGCAGTTCCTGCTGCCGCTGCACCGCACCGCACCGCACCCTCCGTCTGTCCGGAGCGCAGAGGATCCGCGGCACCACCGGCACCACCGGCACCAGCGCAGCCTCTGCCACTGCTGCTTCACGCGGACAGACATGTTGCCGAGGTCCGCCGCCGCGCCGTGACACTCCCGCGGGGTGAAATGCAGTGTCGGGACGTTGTGGAGGTTTGCACGGAGCTCCGAGCCCCGCCGACCCATCTCTGCTCTGCGGCACCCCAGCAGCGGGCTTCCCTCTGACCGGCTCACACTTTTGAACAGTTTTTTAAACAAACTCCCGGTGAAACTGGACTTTTCTTTTCCCCGGTCTCTCACCCTGGAGATGTTCCTCCTGTTGGTGTCTGGACTGAAAGTTGCGCGCTCCCCGGCGGAGGGCCTCTAACAGGTCCGGACAGTACATGTAACCCGAGGCGCGGGTCGAAGTTCAAGTTCTGCGTGGAAATGTGAAAGCGAAGGGGGCAAAAGGAGGGCTCTATTACCCCCCCACCCATACACACACACACACACACACACACACACACACACACACACACACACACACACACACACACACACACACACACCCTCCCACCCCACTCTCTCTCTCTCTCTCCCACTCTCACTCCAACCCTATCCTTTTTTCAGCTCCTTCCCTCTTTTCCACACACGCACATATACAGTTTGCGCACACGCACGCACCTACGTACGCGCACAGGCTGGAGTTACAGTAACCCACACACAACACACAAACACACATAAACACACACACACACTTCCCAGACCTGAGGTTAGATCGGACAGATATGTATTCTCCGCTATGTCTGACACAGGTGAGTGACCTCTGAACTTTATCACTGTCTCTGCTCTGTTCACCTGTGCTCTGCTCTGTACTGACTCACTGTGTACTTGACCGGGTCCAAGACTGAGTCATGACTGAGTCCATGACTGAGTCCATGACCGGGTCCTCCACGGTCCGCGGACTAACTTTCCTGTGCACAGCAGCACATGGCGGACTCAAAACACACTTTTTATTTCTGTCATTTAAACTTGTTCTGTTTCACACTTAGCAAAAGAAACTTTTTTCTTTTCTTTTTTTTTTTTTTTCTTTTCAATTTGCGGCTTTGTTTCTTCGGTCTCTGTTCGGAATCATCTGTGCCGAACTCTGTCCCGGCTGCTCTCCTGGCACGAGCCCCGGCTCAGACTCTCCGTGTCCGGCCTGAGCCAGACCGCAGCTCCGGCTCCAGTGTTTGGGAAGGAGGGAGAGACAAAAAAGGGGGAGGAAAAAGGAGGAGGGAAAAAGTCAGGGTTCGTTTTTTTGGGAGGAAGAGTAGGAGATGGAGGTTTCCCCTCTTTCTTCACTCTCCTCCTTCTCCCGTGAAAGAATGCAAAATGTGCGCAAAATTCTCGGCCGCGACGAGTGACTCGTTCTTTCTTTCTTTTTTTTGATCTTTTTTCTTATCGTGTAGCTTCAACTGTTCTACAGTGTCTCACACTCACACTTCTCCAGAGTGAGACACACACGGTGTGTGTTCACGGTAACAGTGCGCACGGTTCTTGGCGCTCGCGGTTTGTGCGCTCACTGCGCCAGAAAGCTGTAGAATGGCGCAGAGCGAGGCTGGCTGAGTGGCTGGCTGAGACAGGCCGAAATGTCAGCGTCAGGACGGAGGTGTCGGTCAGCTGCTCTGTTGTCAGAGGACCGGGTTTGTGTATGTGCGTGTGTGTGCTGCACAGAGCGGTGCAGGGGTGACGGTGTGTGTGTGTGTGTGTGTGTGTGTGTGTGTGGCGGCTCCTCAGGCCTCACAGCCTCAGTCAGGCCTCACACACACTCAGGTCTCTGCAGGGAAAAATAAATGTGTGGGTCAGAGGTGACCTGAGGTGACACCAGGACGGAACATGTCCAAACCCAACATTAGTAAGAAGAAAAAAACAAACAAACAAACAAACAACTCTGCCTAAATGTATGAATGTATGAATTCGACTGTGACCCTTAATTTAAATAAAAACACTGACAGCAGTGTGAATTAGACGTGTCTCGAACTGTAGGACATTTTCCTGCTGCTTTTTTGTGATAATTATTTTTCCTAAAATTCCCTAAAAATAACCAGAGGTAATTTTACTATAGAATAAAAATGTGCAAAACTAGGGGGAAAAAATCACAGCTTCATATTTTAACCAATATTTGAGCTGATAATTTAAAAAAATTATTATGCTGAGAGGATGTGTTTGAATGTGATGTTATTGTCTGATTTCTTTGTTAAAGGTTGTAATTTATTTAATGAAGGTTAAGAATTTGGTGCTCAGTTAATTTAGGTCAGACTTTCTAAATGGTAACAAACATCTCTATAATCACGGTTTGATTTAAATAAATGTTGCATTAAAATAATCAATATAAAAAACACATTTTATTTTTGTAAAATCCAGTTTTGTTTGTAGTTGATGTAAATGTGTAAAAGTGCAGTAAAGAGACAAGCTTCAGCATTTAATCTGATTATGAAGCAGTAAAACCAATAATCGCTCCTCGCTGACTCCGTCCTTTCACTGATCCTCAGCTCAGTCAGGCTGAGCTGCAGGAAGATTGTGCTCCAGAGCTTTGAGCAGATGTCGGATCCGCTCCCTACTTCTTTTACAACAAATCAAAGATATTTATATTTTTAAAAACTCTCCTGCTGATGATCGATCACCAAATCAAACCTCAGAAAATCCATTTCTGAATGTATTAAACTAGATGTTCGTTTCTGCTGATTTTGTGAAATCCCTCCTCATCTCACTGAGTCTGACACGTTTTTTAAACCCATATAATAAATGATCAATTTTTTGACATGAAAAATTACAAAATTATCAACTTGGAAAATTTCGACTTTAGTGTATTTTGGTTTTTCCTTCGTCGTCTGTGGGTTTGGATCATTTTCTGCTGATAATAAAGAAAAACAGATCAATCAAGGCATTAACACTGAGCTATTAGTCTCACCTGTCAACCAGGGGGTGGCGCTCTTAATTAAATTGCCCCCTAAAATTTCCTTTTGATTTTAAAATTTTCATCTTTGAACAAATCAGTTTTTTTGTCATTGTGTAGTTGAGTTTTTGCAGCAGTTTCAATTATTTTATTATCATTATTTTAGAGAACGTGTCATTTTGACAGAATTGAATTGACAGAGGAGGAACGTAGAACAAGAACGGATTAGAACGAATATCATTTCAAAATAGTTTTAACAGCGAGGACGTTGTCAGCCCTGCAGTGACGTGGAGGGCTTTGGGTTTTTACTAAAACCAAAACCTTTCTCTAATTGGTCCTTGAATTACCACAGCTCTGTGTTCTCTTTGTTGCTTTGCTTCTAAAAATATGTTGGGTCTAAATAAAGGAGGTCAAACTGTCCAACCACGTCTTACAAACCAAGGCATTCTCATATGGAGCTGTTTCCCATCATGCTTCAGTCACCTAGTCTTTCCTCACAAATTGAAATATCTTTTCAGTCTTATTGAAATTGTTGGTTTTTTAAAGGATTCTGGATGAAACTGTTAATGTCTGACTCGTATTTATATATATTTTTTTCTCCTGTTTTATTTGTAGATTTCCAGTATTATTTCGTTGTTATTCTGTGTTAAATCCAGTTTGACAAAATGGTTTTTTGTATATGTGAATGTTTAATTCAGTAGAACTGAGTCTAAATAAGAAGAATTCTCAGCTGAAAATATCTGCTCATGGTTTTTGCCGTCGTTGGAGCTCGATGTTTTTTTTCTTCATTTTCCTCTCAGAAACACATGATTTTACCACTTTCTATTCCTATGCGGGGACAGTAAAAGGCTCATCAGATCCTGCTCTGCCCCCCCTCCGTCCCCCCAGACCTGGTCCGACTCTGACCTGGATATCTGTTCCGCGGTCTGGTCCTGGTGCCGCTGTTTATGCCGCATTTTACCCAAATTCCGCTCCCTAGACGCCTAGGGAGACGCCTGAGACACTGAGCTGCAGCGACACCTTTGATAAATCCCTCAGTGTGTCGGTGTGGGTGTCAATAGACGGTGGGAGGGAGAGAGAGAGAAGGAGGGAGGGAGGGAGGGAGACATGGAGGATTAGCGTTATTGCCGGCCTAAACGACTGTTATTGTTGTTCCAGGCCTTGTTATTTGGAGCCCATTACATCTGTCACCAAGGTGCACAGAGGGGAGCGTGTGAAGACACGGTCGGGTCTCACCCTCCGACTCACCCGGCAGGTTCAGAAATATCCCCTCTCTCTGAGGGAACCAGACCCCGTGGTGCCGATGTTTGTGTCCACGTCACCAAATGGCTTCAAGTCGAACCTAAAAACCTGCAGAAAATCAAATAATTCGAGTCATTTGTTAAATCTAAATTAAATTTCTCTCAGCTGATGATTTTCTGTAGAACCAGCGCCTGAGCAGGAGGTGAAAGAACCATTAGAACCAACCAGATCCTCTGGTCTGAGGAGAACAAGTTCTGTGACTGAGATGATGTGAATGAACAGTCTGTAGAACCTGAAGGTTCTGTATGATGTGACGTTGGCTTCATTTTCACTATTTATATATATATAACTTTTTTTTATTTTAATGAATAATCATATTTTTTATTGATTCATATCTTAATTCTTTTGATTAAATATTTTTTTCTTGGACAAAAGGATTATTGATATCCTTCTTCTTAAATGTCCTGATGATCTCATTCCTGCGGCTTCAAATTCTAACCCTGATTAATCATCATCGCTGAACGACTGAATCTTGAAGAGAAGATTGAAATGTTTGTTATCTGAAGCAGAGAATCCATGAACCGTTCCTGCTCTTCCATCAGTCTCCCCCCGGTCAGAAGTTGACTGGAACCATTTCCTGCACACAGGTGCAGCTCCAGGATTATTTCTGTTTCAGATAAACATTCCTCTGTCAAAGGGGGGAAGCTGAGAAGAAGAGGGATTATCTCGCCCCGCTGGCGTTTTTTAAGGCCGGCTCTGAGGCCGAGTGACTTGTTAAGTGGGACTTTGTTTGCGGCAGACAGACGAGAGAGTGTGAAAAGGCAGTGGCGGCCGACGTGAGCGGCTCAGGAAGCTGAAACGCTGCGACTGGGGCTGTGAGGAATGTTGGTATGTGGCTCCAACGAACATCCAGAGCCGACGAGCTGCACATCCACACTGGAATGTGTGTCTCCGTGCGTGCGTGTGTGTGTGTGTGTGTGTGTGTGTGAACACATCATCTGAGCTGCAGCCGTTACAGTCGTCCTAATAACCACCCGAGGTTAGACGCACACATGCAGAGCCCCCCCCATGCCCCCGCTCCAGAACAGAAGGGAAAGCACGAATGAGAAAAGGCATTATTTTTTTTGTATTTATTAATTTATTTATTTGTATTTTTGCCGTTGGTTTGGGAGCTGAGAGCGGCTGCAGTTTGGCTGCAGAGCTGCTGGAGGCACTTTTGGAGACGAAGCCTTTCGCCTGGACTGTCTCCAAGAAGAAACAATGTGCTGCATTCAGAGCCCCTGACAAGGGAGGCTGAGCAGTGTTTTATATATATCTATACAGTGCATATACATAAAGCAGTGCAGCTGGCGCTCCAGTCAACAGCCTGTAGATACGGTTTCTTCCTCAGCTCCCAGCTAAAGGTTAAATCTCAGAGCCAAGGTTTGACGTAAATGTTTGCAGGGACACCCCAGCTGTGAAAAACACACGGCCCATATATTTAAACCCAGGCCAGAACACAAAGAAAAGACGGGTCATCTATTCTTTTTTTTCTTTCTTTCTTTCTTTTTTTATCAGATATTGGCAGAGAACAAATTTTTATTTCTAAATGTTTCTTTAATTTAGAAGGAAAATTATTTTTTTTTATGGACATGAATAAATAATTTTCCAACAGTCCTTAAATTCAACCCCAGGAAACGGCATGTTTTTGTTCTGGTCCCAGCTAGAAGAGTTTATTAGAACTGTCAGTCAATTCAAATGTTTTATCCCAGTTAATGGGTGATTGTCTGTAGCTCAGCATGATCCCAGAGCCGTATAGTGTGTAGTAAAGGGGAACTCCTATCATGAGAAGGAGTTATTGAACCGCTGCGTGGAGAGGAGGTTTGAAGCTGAATTGGTCTTTTTTAATGACATTTTCTTCCCCTGTCCAAGGTCCTGTTCTCCGTGTTTGGCCCACGGTCAAGATTCGACAAATATTTAGAAATGACCAAAACATTAGGATTTGGTGGAACAGCTACCATACAAACAAAAAAGAGAAGAAGAAAGCCAAGAGAAATCTGGACCAATCACATCGAAGTGGCTTCGTATTTGTTCAAATGAACGTTTATGCAGTGTCTAATTTTAAATTGTGTGTGTGTGTCCATGTGTGTGTGTGTGTGCGTGGACCTCTGAAGCCTCTGTTGCCCAGAAATCCTGTAAACCCGTTTAATGAAACCCACTGTTGTGAACACACACACACAGATTTAGAGTCAATCCCACACTTGCCGTCCTGCTGCCACAAATAATCACCACCGCACTAAACGGGGATTAATCCGCCACCGAAAATAGTCCCCAACAAGTGGTACTATTACTGCTTCCTGTTGTTCCCAAGCCTCAAAGACAGTAAACGGGTTTAACATGTAGAGAGGGAGTGAAGCTGAGGAACTGTTCAGTAACAGTTCCAGAACTGTTGAGGTCAGCTGCAGCGTCAGGTTGTTGTTCTGTGCCCAGAAAAACCGGGGATGTTAAAGAAAAGCTGTTCAGACTGTAATAAAAATGTGGACCGTGGACCATGATACAAACACCAGACCCTGGTGGATGGACCCTCTGCTTGGACTGGACTCTTAACTACTTCCCTTTCTTCTTTAACTCAGACTCTTCACTTGGACCCTCATGACATTTTTTTTTATTTTTGACAGAATCAGAAATAAGTTTTATGTATCAAAATTTGTGAAAACCTCTTTGTTTTTTTAATATGTGGCTCAGGAGGAGAGGAGCAGGGGAGTAAAGTGGGGGTCAGGTCTGTGCACTCCTTCCTCCTCCCCTCCTCCCACCTCCTTGCTCAGTAGCCCTCAGAGGGGTTTTTATCTCAATAAAAGGAGGTCCATGAAGATGTTTTCAGCCCGTGGGTTGTTTTCAGTTTCTCCTCAGCCACTGATGCAGCTGTTAGGGTTGGCTTTTTTTCCTGCTGTTTTTCCTCTCAGACTGTGTTTAGGTGGACAAACTGAAAATGACAGCCTGACTCTTCCAGCATCACCGCAAACAAAGGCTCCCAAACCAGAGACGCAGACGTGAATTCAAACAAAAGCAAAAACACATTTATAGTTTCTGTTCTGCTGTCGCACACACACACACACACACACACGAGCGGGTGAGGCTCAACATTTAAGGTTCTGAACTTTTAAGTTTACTGTATTTACTGATGTAAATCTCAGATTTGATCTAAAGTGTTGTTTGATTTTGTATTTTGTCCAGCAGTTTTCATGGCCTTTTGTAAATTAGTGCATTTAATTTCCATAGACGTGTCAGGGTCAGGGTCAGGTCAGGATCAGGTCAGGGGTCATGTTCCTCCTGCTCCTGTCTTTCTATAAAAGTGTTTGTGTAAAAGAATCAAACAAAAGTGAACGGAGAAGTGAAGGGTCTGGCAGCAGAGCCCTGCCTGCTCTCGGGCACAGGTCCAGCTGAGCGAGGACGAGGGAAGACCAATTTAAACCAGAGCAAATCACCACATCGCTGACCTCCCCACCTCAGTGAGCTGTAATAATGTTTTGATTTTATAATCCTCCCAGTTCAGTCCTGCCTCAGCCCGGCTCACACGGCATCTCGGCTGCTTTTCATTAGGGTTTTGTGGCTGTGTTTGTTTGTGGGACTCCAACCCCCCACCTCCCCCTCCTCCTTATCCCTCTCCTGCAGCCCCCTCTCCTCTTCATCTGCTCAGACCTAGGTTTGAGTCCTGGGTTTTGTGGGTTGTTATAGGGAGAAGGGTAGAGCAGGTGTCACCAACCCCTGGTTCCTGGTCTTATCCACGCCGTGTCGTTCCAGTCAAACTCCACAGAATGCTCCTTTAATCCACATGGAAGAGAGAGCTGCTGTGTTCCAGCTGCAGCTTCTGTTTGTGCTCGTGGTTTGGTTTGTCGGCGGTTGGCCTCCTGCTCAGCGGTTGGAGGCTGGGTTTTCAGTCGTGGTGGGTGGAGGAGGTGTTGGGGGGGGGGGAGTCGTTGGTGTTGGCAGAGACCCACAGACCCACATTCCTGCATCTGCTGAAGTGACGGAGATGAGGAATTTATTACAGTTGTCTCTGTGTTCAGACAGTTCTGCTCCTCTCTGACCGTCCGTGGATGTTAGTCCATCTTTTCTTTTTTCTTCCTCTGCGTCGTTTTCTTATTTAAATAAATACATTTAAGGATTTTTTTAGATTTTAGTGTGTTTTTTTAACATGTTCTGTCTATTGAAAGCATTGTTGCTAATTTCAGGGGTGCAGAAATTATGGGAGTGTAAGAAAATATGGATACACAAAATATTGCAATATTCCATTTCCTGATACCGTATCAATCTCCTCCATCAGTGTATTGATTTTTTTTTCACCAATTCTCAGTCAAATATTCCTGGTGTTGGTTCATTTTCTTTTTCTTTTCTTTCTCCTCCAGTGATTCCAAATGTAGATCCCTCTGTTCCAGTGTTAGTAACCTGATGTTCAGATGGAACAGCAGCAGAGTCTTTACTATGATGACACTTTGACTACAGTCATATTGGTGGAAAAAAACTCAGAAAAATATATCGTCATGTCTATAGTACTGCAGTTTATCGCAAAATATATCGTATCGTTGCCCCTGTATCATGATAGTACGTATCGTATCACCTGATTCTTGTCAATACACACTCCTAATAAATTAGGTTAAATTGTTCAAACCTTTTGTGTTGCGACATATATTGGGTTTATATTTCAGTTTTGACTCGTACAGATGGGTTAAATCTCTGGAGGTTTGGCTTCAAAAACCCTGGTTTGTTGGTGAAGAACATTCTGTTCTGATCTGACAGAAAAACACAAATGATATTTAACTGTTGCCCTTCATCTCCACCTCTCCTCTGACCATCTCCTCTCTCCTCCCCTCAGGATGAATTCCATCCTTTCATCGAAGCCCTGCTGCCCCATGTCCGGGCCTTCGCCTACACATGGTTCAACCTGCAGGCCCGCAAGAGGAAGTACTTCAAGAAGCACGAGAAGCGCATGTCCAAGGAGGAGGAGCGCGCCGTGAAGGATGAGCTGCTCAGTGAGAAGCCCGAGGTCAAACAGAAGTGGGCGTCCCGCCTGCTGGCCAAACTGCGCAAGGACATCCGGCCAGAGTGCAGGGAGGAGTTTGTGCTGACGGTGACGGGGAAGAAGCCGCCGGGCTGCGTGCTGTCCAACCCCGACCAGAAGGGCAAGATGAGGAGGATCGACTGCCTGCGCCAGGCGGACAAAGTCTGGAGGCTGGACCTGGTCATGGTGATTTTATTCAAAGGGATTCCCCTCGAAAGTACTGACGGCGAGAGGCTGGTGAAGTCTCCTCAGTGCACCAGCCCCAGCCTGTGTGTGCAGCCGCATCACATTGGAGTTTCAGTGAAGGAGCTGGATCTGTACCTGGCCTACTTCGTCCACACAGGTCAGTGCCCGTCCTCCTGACTCTGTGTGTGTGTGAGAGAGTGTGTGTTTGACCACTGTGCTGTGGCCTGAAGAATCATCTCCTTCACAGTACAGACACACAGGGTTGTCAATGTTCTGG